TCCCTCCACCATATACTTCTACATATCTTATTTCGGCTATTTACATAAATTCTTAATACTTATTATGCCTTTAAGAACTTCTATTGTCGATTTTTAGCAATTACACTTGCCTCCCTTAAGTAATTCTGCTTTGTTTTGTTCAGAAGGTTTGATCACTTCCCACAGGCTTTATTTGACCTCTTAACGTTTCTCATTAAAGAGGGTTAATTGCATTCACATAACAGAATTCCTACTTTATTATGTTGACTTTGTTTTTATGTTTTTTTGTTTTGTTTTGTTTTCCATTTTTCACTGTCCAACAGGAACGGGCAACACAGTAGTAATTATGGTTGGTTATCCAAAAGGAATAGAGATTTTGGAACCAGTTCGAAGAGGAATTCCAGTAAAAATGACCATTGGTGTTGGGACGCGACATGTGCAGGAGTTCATCAGTGGACAGTCAGTTGTGTTTGTAGCCATTGCCTTCATCACCATGATGATTATATCACTAGCTTGGCTCATATTTTACTACATACAACGTTTTCTGTATACTGGGTCACAATTTGGAAACCAGGTAATTTCATATTTGAAATAGTATTTTTAATATTATTTCTGTGAAATGTTTAGAAAGGCGTTTCCTTTGTCTGGCTCTGCTACTCTGTGTTTGCATTTTCCTGTTTCTCTCCCATCCATGAATGCTTCTTACACTAATAAGCAGCATGTCAATGTGGCATCTCATGTCGTCTTAGCTTTAATTATTAATCTTTTTCTGAAATAATCTGCCTCCTACCAGAATAATTTAGATTTGCCCTATTACTTAAGTCAATATTGAATAATTTAAAACGTAGAAGTCTCTTTTATAGACTTTTTACTTGCTGATTTAGATGGAGGAACTCTCCCTTTCAGTTAAAACTTAGAGGAGGAAGGGAACCATCATTTTCAGCCAGAGAACATCAATAAATAAAGTTTTAAAGAGAAACCTTGCCCAGCTACTGGAGATCTTTAGACCTAAAATGGTTAGTATCAGAGCTTTACAAAAGCTGATTCTGGACAAGTGTAATGTACTACCAGGGTGAACTGCAAAGTAGAAATGGATTGTAGAAGTATACCAAATTATTTGGGACGTGGGGACTTGGACACTTGAAAGAATGAAGCAGCAGCAGTTTACTCCATCCAGTTGTTGCTGTGTCTACTTCCTTTTCCACTTCTCAGTTGAAGAGTATTATTTGCCATTTTTTCCGACAAATGGATTTTGTTCCAACGGGTAAGAGGTCACAAAGAGCTGTGGCTTGATATATCCTTTAGAAAAGCATTTCCCACATCCTGTAGATGACCATTGAGGAAACATGGAGCCATGAACAGCTCCAGGAGTACCTCTTATTTACTTTATTTTGATCCTAAAAAACTGATAGAAAATTAATTTATGAACCCAATATGATAATCTTCTTGTACCAGTGAAAATAAAAAGAGGGGAGCATAATGAATTGTGTGACCTGTTTCTCAGCCATTTGATTGGATATTAAGTAAGTGAAATTAAGAACCATTAGTCCTATTACAGGGGAGGCCAATCTGCGTTGTGTCCCCCACAAGTGGCACAGAGCATCTGTGTGGCATACAGCAGATTGGAGAGGGGATAAGCAGCACAGAGGCAGACAGGGCAGAAAGCAGAACAGAAGGTTGGGAAGGAAGCAAAAGGCAGACCAACATACGGACAGAGGAAGAGATTAGGAGTATCACTCAGAAAATGCAGGGCTCATTTGTGGAAGGCCTGTCAAAAGACTTGGCCCCCACTGGTGTATTAGAATGTGTAGTAATGGGAATTGGGAGCTGCTGAGCACGGACTGACATGCATGGCCTTAGGCGTAGGTGAGTCATGTAACTTGCATTCATAATAATTTTCAGTAATTTGTTTCCCAATTTTAAAAGCTATTATAAAGAGCAGAATTTTATGGATTGTTTCAACAAAAGGTACAGATTACTTACTGACAACAAAAATATTTCCATTAATTTTTGTAATGTTTTCTGCCCAATGCTGGACTGAAGCTTGGGAAGGAAACTTTGATATCAGATGTGCATATGGTTTGGTAGATTGTAGGTGCACACTTAATGTTTCAGAAGCAAGGAGGCAGGACACAACAGTTGAATACAGTATGAAGAAGCTACTTTAAATGCATGTAATGGGATGCCCCAAGACAAAGCATTTAGATAATGGCATATTGTCATGTGCAGAAAATGACTAAGACTTGTATCCATTTACATACGGAGTAGCCCTCAGTTGTATAAGTATATGTTGCAGGATTGGGCCTAAAACTAACCTGAAACTATCATGTTGGAATATACACCATACTTCTGAGTGCCCCCTTTCAGTCAAAAAAAAAAAAAAAAAAAGAAAGAAAAAGAAAACATTGAATATGGTAGTGTTTTTAGTTGTGTAATTTTTATATGCTGTATGCTTAAGCTAGAAATAGCACATGGTTTCATGACCCAAAACTTCTCACAATGCTTCCTTGTTACCTTAAACTAATGTTTCTCATTAGATTGAGTGATTTTAGTTCGGTTATGCTTCTCCTTCTTGGTCAAAGTTGGGTAACTGCAAAGGATGAATTGATAGATTTTTTTTTTTAGATTTACCTGTTGCCTGTGTTCAAAATTGCTTCCCTATCTCTGCACAGATATGTACTTGATAGCACCCAGTTGCTCTGGAAATTAAAGGTGCATTGTATTGATAAATGATCGTGCATTTACTTCAGCGACTGCTAGGCTCTGGAATTTTGCTTCCTTTTAGGCCCCTGGCAGATGTGTAAACAAAGGCGCAATGGGATCTGATGTGGGATCCCCAGTCACGCTTACTGCTGTGCCACACGTGTGTGGCAGGAGGCATGATTGGGGGGATCCTGCATCAGATCCCATCATGATTCTGGGCTCCCCCTGCACCAGCAATAATAAGCTCCCACAGCTGGGAGCACCAGCCTGGCCACATGTTCAGTTAGTGGCATGGAACGAACCAACCACAAGATGATTACATACTTTTTGAGTAATAACTGCAGCTTATGCCTTGTTTTATCACACCATTTGTTGCATTAATGTGTGGCTGGGTAACAAGGTGTGATTAACTGGCTAAGCATGTCTTAAGTGTAGTGTGTGCCAGGGGCCTTAATGTTTGGTGGTGGTTGCAAATGCTTCATTTACTTAAAATGGTACAAAAAATTGAAAAATTTCTGAAATGTTTGGGATGTTTAGTAAATTATACTGAATATTCTACAGGGGTTTGATGATAGCATTTCACTTAAGTGATAAAATAGCATGGAGTAATAATTTTAAAAATACTTTAAGGGCTACAGAAAGGAAACCAAGAAAGTGATCAGCCAGCTTCAGCTGCATACTGTTAAACGTGGAGACAAGGTAATTTGATTTTATTTCTATACTGATGAAATGTTATCCAAATTTTTTTAGAATTCTAAAATTAACTTTTATAGGGCTATCTATAAAACAGCACACAACTGTTTTATTTTTTTGGTTTTGTTTTCTTAGCAAGACAAAAAAAAGTTTGGGTTTTTTTGTAAACAAATCTTCAAATACTCTAAAGAAAAGACAGATTTGTTAAAGGAGGTGATCCTCCCCCTCTACGCGACACTGGTCAGGCAACAGCTGGAGTACTGTGTCCAGTTCTGGGCGCCCCACTTCAAGAGGGATGTGGACAACATTGAGAGGGTCCAGAGGAGGGCCACCCGCATGATCCGGGGACAGCAGGGCAGAGCCTACAATGAGAGGCTACGGGACCTGAACCTGTTCAGCCTTCACAAGAGAAGACTGAGGGGGGATCTTGTGACTGTCTATAAACTCACTAGGGGGGACCAAAAGGGTTTGGGGGAGACGTTGTTTCCCCTAGCGCCCCCTGGGATAACAAGGAATAACGGCCACAAGTTGTTGGAGAGTAGGTTTAGATTAGACATCCGTAAGAACTATTTCACAGTCGGGGTGGCTAGGATCTGGAACCAACTTCCAAGGGAAGTGGTGCTGGCTCCTACCCTGGGGGTCTTTAAGAAGCGGCTTGAAGCCTACCTGGCTGGGGTCATTTGAGCCCAGTTTTCCTCCTGCCCAGGCAGGGGGTCAGACTTGAAGATCTACAAGGTTCCTTCCGACCCTACTTCTATGACTATGACTAAATCCAGAGAAGAGTTTATTTGTGTAAGAGAGTATATAAAAACAAATAAGAGGGTCTCAATCAAGAAATAGCTTACTTCAAGAAAGCTTTGTACAAACACGGTCAGCAGACAAAAAATACTTTTAAAAATCCAAACTGATTCCAAATAAACCTATTGGAAATTATGGCAACTTGTTTTGAAGTCTAATTTTGCTTTATCTGTTAAAATAATACTGTATTTACTCAAATTTAGTTGACTCTGAATTAAATTAATTAGATTCTACACATGGAAAATTATAGCAAGTGTAAGGAGGGTGGAGAAGGGCAAGCAGGGGAGCAGAAAGGCAAGATATAGAGGATGCTGGGAGGGGTGAGTAGCAAGCAGGTAGTAGCTATGGCTATGGCTGGACCCCTGGTATGTGCTGAAGCCCAAGCCACAGCAGCTTCCAGCCCCTTTACCCCACTGACCTTAATTCTAAGATGAGGTGTTTTCCCCCCATGTTAAATGGGGGAATAAACCTGATCTTAGAAACCAGTAATACCGCATTAAATCAGCCTATATTAGCTGCTGAAGTTTGAAGCGTGTCAAACCACTGATCTAGGTAGAAGGCAGCGGCTGAACACCTGAAACTAGAATTCATTGTAGTACAGGCAGTCCTTGACTTACAACTTTTTGATTTACAACCTCTTACAACCTTTATAAATTGATACCATGTTTCAAGGTTCCCACGCAGGTTTCAACTTTACAGTGCTTGATACAGCTATGTCCAGCTGGTAAGTTTGGAAGGGTAGTGGGAGGGAAAAGGCGTGGGGAGGAGCAGATCAATGCCCCCGCAGTGAAGGAGGGATTGGGGTTGGGATGGGCTGGGCCAAGTGCTGCCCAGTCGGGGCAGGATGAAGGCATGGCTCATGCAAGGGGGTAGGGGTGGTTCGTGTCACTAGTCCAGGAACTACTCATTTGGCAGCTCCCACTGCTCATCTGGGAGGGTGTGTGCCCCCCCGGATCTGCGCAGGGCAGGCAGGGCCGGGGCTGCACCGCACTGCTCCGGGCAGGCACAGTGGCGCTGGGAGCAGGGGCTATGCCTTGCTGCCACTTGCCCAGGTGGGACAGAGGGTCAAGGGACAGCCACTACACTGCCTCTGGACAAGTGGCATACAGTGGCAGGATCCACCCCCCTCCCCGTGCTCCCCGGATGAGCTGCGCATTCATCCCACGCCCCCCTGCCCCACTCCAGCTGGCTGAGTGACAGAAGGCATTGGGGGGTGCCCCTGGATGGGGGTGGAGCAGGGGCTATAGCAGGGCTGCAGCCACCCCAAAATTCATGTTGGCCCCCCCCCCAATAGTCCCTGCTGCCCACCCAGAGCACAGCGCGGTACAGCGCTGGCCTCGCCCACCCCATGCAGATCTTGGGGCACGCTTCTCCCATTCCCCATGACCTTCTAGATGAGCAGCTCCCAGACCAGCAGCATGCAGCAGCGGGACCTGCCCTCCCGTGCTGCGCCCCCCCCCGGATGAGCTGCAGCTTTGTCCCGTGCCCCTCTGCCCTGGCTGGGCAGCGCTTGCACCAGCCCCAATCCCTCCGCTGCGGGGGCATTGATCTGCCCCCGCTTCCCCTTCGAGCATTGTAAAGAAACCAATGGCCCATTTATAACATTGTTCCTATGGGAAAGTTGGTTCTGAGTTATAACATTTCGACTTAAGACGTGGTTTTCAGGAACCAATTGTTTCGTAAGTCTGAGGACTGCCTGCATAAATGAACTTTTGATGGCAATGTTTAAAGTATTTCTTTTGTTTAGTTTATTCAGCTTGCTCAGTTGATGAACTAGTTTTCTTCAGAGTTGAGAAAGTGGGGGGTTGAAGTGCACTCACTCACTTGTGCGCGCCCGTGCTCTTGGTCTTTCTTTTCCTCCCCATCCTATCTATGAATATAAAAAAAAGTGAGAGGGGAGGATGTCTTGTTCTAAAATCTTGTAGTAAAAGATATGGTACATTAAAATCATTTAAATTATAATTTTAATATTAATTCTAGTTTCCATTCAAACACAGGTTGGCATAAAACGATAACAAAAAAATAATCCAGAGCAAATGAGAAATGAATCAGATTTACTGTAAAAGCAATGTTTTGTTGGAAATCAACATATTTTGTTGCTAAAGTATCTTTAGAAGCTTGTGGTATAAATGCAAACCGTGATACAAATTGATACACAGATTAAATTAAATCAAGGTTTCTTGCATGCCGATCCAAATTGCTGCACTCTGAATGTGACACTCCTGCTAGTCCTGACAAGCCCTTGCTAGGCCTGTGCTTTTTCTACATCTCTTAGGGACTCCAATTATGAGAGTGCAAGTACATCATTTGCAAAGATAGGGCTACTTTTACACTAGTAGTTCTATCGAAGTATACCTTCGTGAAATGTATCCCAAAGTAGTGTCTTTATAGCCTAGAGCAGTGGTTTTCAACCGTTTTTCATTTGTAGACCCTTAAAAAATTTTGAATGGAGGCATGGACCGCTGCAAATTTTAAGTGTAGGTATTCACATACTTTTGATCATGGTCATCTTTCACAGACCCCTTAGACCTGAAAGATCCAGGGGTCTGTGGACCACAGCTTGAAAATCACTGGCCTAGACAAATGCACATTTTGTTTCACTTTTGATCTAGTCTGGTTTTTATTATTTAAAAAAATGAAGGGGTTTTATATTGAATAGTAAGGTAGAAGCATTCAAAGTTAAAGCATTTCAAGTAAAAATAGGGCACCCTTAAAAAGCGTATTTACTGTTGTGAATCTTTCCTGATCAGCTTAAGGGATAATTGCAAAATGGACACGTTTGTTCATCTGCTACGTACAGTAAACTTGGAATCCATCCTCTTTGTAGTAAAAAATATTTGTGATAGCAAATACATTTTTAATATACCTGCACATATAAAGTTTGGCAACTTGTATATAGAAATGGACAAATAATTATTTTCTATAAGATATAAATTGCTGATCTGACTTCTGTAGCCTACCCCCGATTACTAGTGCAAGTGAGCATTGCAACAATAATACTCTGAGTTCCCAAACCCAGCAATAATACCCAGAGTTCCCAAACTCTGACAAATTGTGCACCACCAATTTAAAACGATACAACCTTAAGTACCACCAGCAAATTTTTCAGTTCAAACTTGTGAACCACCAGCAAATTTTTGTCATATAAAGTAACTATAATAAATCTGTTAATGTGTACCATTGACAGGTTGTCTGCATACCACTGGTGGTATCCGTACCATAGACTGGGAACCGCTGTTTCACATTCTGCAAACATGAAAGACAACTTTGTATTGTGGAGTTTTTTTAATGCTAAATCTCTGCTCTTCTAGTATCTATCATATACTGTAGTTATTTGCATACCACAGACACTTTCCCCCTCATATCAGTTCTCCAAAATTAGGGTGCCATGTCTTAAGTGGAGAGTCAGGTGATCTTTCCTTCACTGGAATAGAAGCAGGGAAGAAAAGAAGCAAGCAGATGTGTTAAAATGGCTGCCACGTCTCCCTGGGGCAGTTAGCAGCAGGAGTGGAATCCAGTAATAACCCTTTCACAGTTGCCAGTGAAGCAGTACCTTTTGGCTGAAAAGCCCTTGCACTGGCTGCGGGTGAGTGAGCTGCTGTATAACTGGCTGTGAGCACAGTTAACTGGCTGTGTGTTCACTTCCTCTTCCTGCTGCCCCCAAGGTCTCTGGGATTTGCAGTCCAGAATTACAATAGCAGAACTCTGCAGGGTTGCTCATCACTTCCTTTTCCTGCTTCCAGGTACCTCTGGGATTTATAGTCCACAATTACAGCCAGCAGTAAGTTTGAGCAGGGGAAGGGAGGTTTAACCCCACCCCTCCATGGCCCCAGAGCACCAAACCCCTCCCACCCCATAGACTGGGCTGCATCCCAGCTGGGCTTGCCGTGCCCCCCCCCCAATCAGCCAGCCCTCACTGTTTCACCACACTCCGACATTCTGCCTTCTAAAAAAACCTCCCGAAGTGCATGTCTTATTTGTGAGAAAATATGGCATTTGCTTTTATATGTAGCCCAGTTAAAAATTAATTTTATTATTGGCCATGTTAAATATGTTAATGTATATGGCTGCAAAATAAATGCCAAGGGAGATTTAGAGTGAAAAAGCAGTAAGATGCGTTGGGACACGAAGAACTTGAGGAAAGTGTGTTGCATAAATAACAGCATACTGTACTGATTGCATCTTTTTTATAAGAATTTTGTTTTGGGGGAGAAGGGATAATTCTTGTCTTCAGTCTCTGTCTCCTTCCTCCCCCAGTTTTCTTTACATAGTTGGTTTGTTAGGGAGAATGACTGGGGAGGATGGGGAAAGGGGAGAGAAGCAAGAGGGTGCCATGTTCAACTCTGAGAGAAGTCTTTTCTTGTTTGAAAGCTCATTATTACTTGGGAACATGGATTAGGTGTTGTGTGTATGACCCTCAAATTTCTGGGGTTAAAGCTTATGCAGATACTAGTTTTTATTTGTAATATAATCATAGCTTGGTTGCAGCCTGTTACAAATGTTAGCGTTCAGAGAATTAAACGAGCTACCAAAAATGTTCATGTTGACTTAAGTGGGTGTAGAACTAAATATATGAAAATTTAGCCAGTCAGAAGCTTTGGCTTCAGTTTTCTCAAACCTTCTGATATAATTTTTCTTTGATTTTAAATGACAGGAAACTGCTTTCTTGTGATACTTTAAATCAGGTCTATCTTGTAAGCAGCTGGAGGCCAAATGCCCTGCTGGGCACAACATCAGTGGATGCTGTACATCCACAGCCTGCACCAGAGTGAACACCTCTGCAGCACTGTGCAGGTGCAGCCTCCCCACACACTGCACTGTGTGCCCTCTGTCCGCTCCCAACCCCTACACCACACAGGAGTCCCCCACAGCTGCTTTACCACATCCACCTGCAGCTCCAGGCTCACCCTCAGCTCCCCCAGCCTGGAGAGGGGGTAGGCAGCAAAAGCCAGAGGAAGGAGGGGAAGCATGGAGACTGGCTGCTCTTGCAGCCAGATCAGTGGGCAGGCAGGAACTGGGGGCTACAACTTAACCTCTTTTAGGCTGCATGCAGCCTGTAGGCCAGCAGTTGGAAAACCCCACTTTAAAACATTTTATACATTATGCATTTTGCAAAGTTACGTGCGATTCATATTTGTTACAATCAGGATATGATTTTGAATGCTGTCTTATAGCTGTTCATTTAAATATGGTGTTTTTCTTCAGGGTTTAGATGTTGATGCAGAAAATTGTGCTGTGTGCATTGAAAACTATAAACCAAAAGATACTGTCCGAATTCTACCATGCAAGTAAGTGTATTTTCTTTTTCTTTTACCGTATTTTTCCTGAGAAACATTACTGACATTGTCACAGAGCCATACAAGGCACTGAAGCTGTGCCATCTGTTTGGCCTGTTATGTGTACAAGGCATGAATAAATGGTATTTCTTTCACATGTATGGTGTGGAATGCAACCTCTCACTTGCATATACACGTAAAAATTAGTTTAACTATTGCTAGTTGTCAGTATTCTTTCTAGTGAGATCATATTTGGTTTCAGGATGGATCTAGACTGCTCTCAGTGGTGACAGATGACAAAACAAGGGCCAGTAGTCTCAAGTTGCAGCAGGGGAGGTTAAGGTTGGATATTAGGAAAAACTTTCTTGCTAGGAGGGTGGAGAAGCACTGGAACAGGTTACCCAGAGAGGTGGTAGAATCGGTGGTTTTTAAGGCCTGACTTGACAAAGACCTGGCTGGAATGATCTGGCTGGGGGTGGGACTGCTTTGAGCAGGGGATTGGACTAGATGACCTCCTGAGATCCCTTCCAACCCTCATTTTCTGGATTCAGAAGGATTTTTGTAAGACCAGAGATGTATAAACAGAACAAGTACAAATAGTAATTTTGAGAGAATAGTAGTAAATGTAAAGAAAGATTTGGAGTGAAAAAGCAGTAAGACATGTTGGAACACATGGAGAACTTGCTGAAAGTTTGTTACATTAAGTAACAGTATATTGTAATGCATCTTTTTGGTATGAGTTTTGATTTTTGGGGTGGAAGAGAGAATTCTTTTCTTCAATCTTCCCCTCCCCTGTCGCACCCTTCTTCCCTGTCTGGCCCCCCTCCTCCCAATTTCCTTTATCTATGGTTTGTTAGGGAAAATGATTGGGGAAGGTGGGGGGAAAAGGGAGAGAAGCAAGAGTGTGTCACGTTCAACCCTAAGAGAAGTCTCCCCTTGTTTGAAAGTTCATTATTCCTTGAGAACATAGATTAGGTGTTATAAGCATGAACCTTAAATTTTTGGGGTTAAATTTTCTGCAGATACTTTTCTTTTATTTAAAATACAGTCTTAGCTTTGTTGCATCCTATTAAAAATGTTAGTGTTCAGAGAATTAAACAAGCTACCAAAAATGGTACAGAAGAATATAATCAATTAAAGCTTCAACATCAATTGGAGCTTTAATATGGAATATATAAAACAGTGCTTTCCTATTTGTATTATTTTTAAACAATATTTTTTCCCCTGAAATGGGTAACCAGATATCATTTTGACAATGAGAAAAGTGAAATACTGGGCCTTAATAAAAAAAATTTAAAGATATACAAGTATAGGCAAAATATATTTTAAATATTTTGCTTTTGGATACATTATACTACTTCCCTTGAGCATGTTTCAGAACAATGCTGCTCTTGCTCCACATCCGTGAGATTTGGAAATGAGATAGTGAAGCCACTCTAGAGGTGTCCTTGGAACCACATTCAAGATGTTTCCTCAAATAGTTTTACCACCTCCCTTCTGGATTTGATTCCTGTGGAATGAGAGCAGGTCAGCCTAGGTTGTGCTCAACAGCAGTGTCCTTAGAAGGGTTGAGCAAATGGTATAGATATGCTCTCTGAACAATTGACAAGACAGATCTTACTAGTAGTATTTTATAGCAGCTTTTTAAAACTGACACTACTTTATCTGTGGAATCACTCAAGAGTGAGGACTGATTCTTTTTATTTATTTAAAAAAGGACCAGTCTATCTTTTGTCTGGGCTATGTTATATATATGCTTGACTTTTTTTCCCATTTGCTCTTTTTACCTTGGCAATTAAAAAAAACAAAAAAACTGGTTCACCCATTAATTTACATAACCTCATACTTGGAATACTACAAATCTAAAAGGGTTTATGAAGGAATAGTTGTGATTTAAAAAAAAAATTGTGTTCTAAAGATACTTTCTTTTCTTCAGGCATATTTTTCATAGGATATGCATTGACCCGTGGCTGGTGGACCACAGAACTTGTCCAATGTGCAAGCTAGATGTCATCAAAGCTCTGGGATACTGGGTATGTTATACATTTACTTGTGTATGTACTGCCAGTGGCCAAAGCAGAAAGTGAGACTGTACATCTGCCTTTTAACTGAGAACAGGTGTTCTTTAATATACAGGAGATTACCAGAAAACTTGGGGCTCAGATGCCACAACCATGTGTGGGAACCAGAACAATAGAAGAAATTTATTTACATTAAAATAGGCATTCTTAATATTGCATTTAACATACAAGTTTATCCTCACAATACCCTTGGGGTTAAAAAAAAAAAAAAAAAAAAAAAAAAGCTTGATCATCTCTTTTCTGCCCAGAGCAGGCGGGCTGGACCTGATGATCTCACAAGGTCCCTTCCAGCCCTAAACTTCTGTGAATCCCAATTTGTAAAATATGGAAAAAACTGAGGGAAAAGAATGTGACTTGCTGGAGGCTGCAGAGTTAGAACTGTTCTATACTTCAGCAGACATGGGTATTTAGTACCCTTACTCTGACTATGGAACTTCTCAGAAGGTCAGGGAATTAAACATAGTGCCTAAAATAAGTTAGCTGACTTCCTGTACTTCCTCCAGCATGCTGAATTTTATCCTTGCGACTGAATCAGCATCAGAATTTTCCTGAATACGATTGCCAGTAGTTGGTTTAAATAGAAATGAAACCACATCATTTTCTCTTGCTGGTAGTATCTGCAAAGAGAAATGATATGTAGAAAGTTCGTTTAATTGGTAAGAAGTAGTTCTGAGAGAGCTGTACTTTCAGTTCTAGAAAGGTCATGGTCATCAACGTACCACTTCTCTCTGAGGTCACAAGAAAACAGTAGCACTTCCCATTATAACATACAGCTTAACTTGTTTTTTGGGATTTTCATTTCATGAACTAGTTCTGTATTTTAAGTAGCTCTTCTGTTAAATAAATGTAAAAAAGTGGAATGGTTGAAGTTATGCTAAATGGCTATTTTTAATGTAGAACTGAGACTTTAATTACTCTGGGTACTGTATCTGACAACTGTAAAATCAAAACATTGGGGTGGTTTATTCCACATGTCTAGAAATTACATTAGTGCAGAGATGATTTTAAGACACTGATAAACTAGTCAAAGTCCAGGTTCCATAACCTCTTCCTTTCCATAAATCAGTAATGGGTTCCAACGAACAGTGGAGAACATACTCGATCTGGAAACTTTCGTGACTGTCATCAGAATCAGCAGTTTCTTCTTTAAATTGAGAAGGATTAGGAGTGATAGATACCACAGCCAAACCGGAAATTTGATTAGACTTGTCTCCTGCTCACTTGACAAAAGGTGATGAAAAAGGAAGCCCATTAATAAAGTGGGATTTTGGGAGTTTAAAAAGTGGTTTACACACTAATAAGACTAATTCAACACCGGTTTAGTTTGGTAATGGGGAAAATTATCATCAGATAGCTAAATAGTAGCATTTGTGAAATAGGGTATTTTGTCTAGTTTTAAGTGGAAAATCCTTATCTTGGTGTGCAGTTTCTGCATTGGTCAAACTTTGAATGACTATTTAGGAAAATGCTTGGACCTCTAAAACAAAACAAATCAAAACCCAACAAACAAAAACACTAACAGGCCTGTTCTGACATCCTTGGCTCACAGCTGAAGTACTGAAATTGCTGCTTCAACACTAAATCCCCCTTGTGGAATAGGGAACCACTATTTTACAGTGTACCTATTCTGTACCCTTAATGTAGCTTGTATTTCTATATACAAATAATAAAATGTTACATATTCCTTTTTTGAATAACGGCTCAATTTTAAAAGCAGAACTCTCAAAGTTTTTATTCTCATTTGCATTGTTGGTAGTGGTGCGTAGTTAATGTTACCTAATGGTTCCTACTAGAAGACCCCTTTTTCAGCTGCTTAAACTTTTTTGCCAAATGTTAACTGGAAAACTTTTGACCCAGATGTCTGTCTTGAAAAGCCTGGTTGGCTTTTGTTTACCTACTTTATTCTGAAGGGTGACCCTGAAGATGCATTTGAAGTTCCAATACCTGAATCAATAAGTGGCAGTGTTTCCCTTGGAAGTTTGAGCATTGCTTTACAAGAAGATGACCAAAATGAAGTAAGCGATTTGTCAGCCTCATCCACTAATGAATCTGTGTTACAATGTAACAGTTTAAAAGAGGATGCAGGTGAAACCACAGCATTACTTGGTGAGTAGTAATATAGTACATCATCATTTGGATAATCAACTGGACACTGAGTGAAGTTTTTCTCTGCTTTAGTTGAAACCTATAATTTTTTGGTGCGGACTTGATGAATCATGAGTACTTGTTACCTTGGCGTAAATTATTCTTTGAAGAAGTTTAGTTTTCCAAGGCTATGATGTTTTAGCCAGACTCTCCCAGATGATTGTAACTTCCTCAGCTTCCAAACCTCTGAAGTAGCAGTCTGATAGGAAACTTCATTCCTTTTGGGAGCTTTGAGTATGATTTAGGGAAAGGCTGGAGGTTGTATTTCCTTTCTTGTAGGTGTGTGGTCTACATGGTTTCTACTTTACCATGTGTCAATTGGGGATAGATAAGAGTGCAATACTGGAGAGCAGACTCATGTGGTTTTGAGAGTTCCTTCTATCGTCTGCGGTTGTCATGGTAAGTTTTAAGGAAATAACTATTTCTGGAGTGCACCAGGAATTTGGGACTTATTCTTTGTCTTTGCCTGCTAAAGCTGTGCAAAGCTTCGGTTGCTGATTCAATTTGGAGGAGATTCGGTGGCCAAATCTCTGAATCTGAATCGAATCGAGAGACCCATTAAAAGGTCCGAATCAAATCCAAAGCCTCCGAATCAATTTGGAGAGATTTGGATCCGCCAAGGAGAGGCAGCTGCAGGTTCTCCCACGGCTCCTCCAGCTGTGCCTGCCTCTCCCCGGGGGGGGGGGAGCCGCAGGAGAAACCCCCATGGCTGCCGTGCCCGGCCCCAGCGTCTTGGCACTTAAAGCCCTGCACTCACTGGCTGCAGCAGGGGCTGTGGGGCTTCCTGGCACAGCCCCCCGCACAGACCTTGCTCCCCAATCGGGCCCCCCTGTCTGTCCCCAGCATCCCGGCAATTTAAAAAAAAAAAAGCCCTGCACTCACTGGCTCTGGCAACGGGGATCAGGGCCTCTGGGTGCTTGTGGCAGAGCCCCTGCACAGCATGGGGCAGTAGGCGGCAGCGGGGATTGCCCCAGAGTAGCTGTGGGAGAACATGCAGCCACCCAGCTGTGCCTGCCTCTCCCCAGCGGATCAGAATCTCCAATCAGCGCCAAATCTCCGATTTCTGATTTGGCCAAATCGAATGAGGACAGTGATTTTTGAATCACTGAATCGAATCTGTGTCCTCCGAATCGGCCGAATCCGAATCAAATACTTTCCTATTCACACAGGCCTACTGCCTGGGGTACCACTTCTAGAAAAAAATTATCACTTGGAAAGGTCCCTGTTGTTTTCTTCATATCTCAGCTTCTACATGTGCATTGCTGTGCACTAAATAATACTGCTGCAGGATAGTACTTGTGTTTACAAGTACCAACCTGTCATGGGATTAATCAGTTTACTGCGGCCTTATAGGGCTGCATCTGCAGATGCTGAGACTTTACTGCAAAGCTAATTACACAACTGCAGTGAACATCTCATGTAGATGCACGCACATATGAGCAATTTGCTTTCATGCCTTGATGATTAGGGCATGGTATAAGCCTTTCTACTCATTCTTTTGATTGGGGTCCATAGTACCATAAAATGATGTTTCAGAGAGGTTCTTTTAGTTGCATGTTTGTCAATGTTTTGCTATATCTGCATACGTGTTCATTAATACAAGTTTATGGTCTTAGACAGATGTTACATCTGTCATGCTTTATGTGCTTCTTGTAGTGGGACAAGAACAAACTACCACAAGTTCATGTTATTTATCCTGCTTTTAAGAAATGGTGGATCAAGTGCAAAAATGTGAGGACCTGGGATAAAAAGTTTGTTTGAAACCATTAACTTCTTTTGTCTCACAGAAAGGTTTTCCGCAGCAAATTTTGATGTCTGCAGGTTAGAGATACCCCTGGTATCCCACAGACACCCTGCTCCCCCGTGACCTTCATCCCAAGAGGGAAGGGAGTAAGTGGCTGGTTCCCTGATAGCCCACTTGGTGAGTTGTCAAGGTAGAATCATAGAACATTACGATTAGAAGGGACATCAGGAGGCTATCTAGTCCACCCCACTGCTCAAAGCAGGACCAGCCACAACTAGATCATCCCAGCCAAAGCTCTGTCTTGCTGGGTTTTGAAAACACCCCAAGGATGGAGCTTCCACCACCTCTCTGATAACTTGTTCCAGTATTTTACTATCCACCTAGTGAGAGAAATTCTTCCAAATATCTAGCCTAAACTTCAGGTACCCAGTGTGTAGCCCCCTGTTCGGTCCGGTAGGTCAGCTGATTGGTGAGAGTGGGTAGGGGGTCAGGGATCCTGGAACTGTCTCCACCCTCCCCCCCCTTCCATCTGGTGTTCTGGTTGCAGGCTGGGGTCCTCTGCAGTGCTGCTGCAACTATATGTGCTCTTGCCCAAGAGCTCTGGCAGCTGCTGCAAGGAACCTCACCTGCACAGGTGAAACATCGGCAGAAGCCAGTGTTCTGGCTGCACGCAACCCAGGATCAGCCCTGGCTTCTGCTGGGCAAGCAGTAGCAACCAGATCTGCCTCCTGCCTTGCAGGAATCCCAGGAGAAGCTGCTTGTGCCACAGGAGCCATGACGGCTCTTCCCATTGCCACAGCTCTTGTATCACCCATACCCCCCAGCAAGCTTCTGTAAGCTGTGCTTGACAACCTTCGAGGAGGTCGTGGGACCAGGGCTAGTTCTAGGGCAGCAGTTGCAGCTGTGGGCACAGCCCTGGCACACGCACCCCTCACGCGTACAGAGGGTGGGGATGAGGAACCTTTTTCCCACGTAGCTTCTTCCAACTGATGATGCCTGTGCAGCATTGGAGTTGTGGGGGGGAGCAGAGGGGCAGTGGTTCAAGGCCATGCCTTGGTGGCGTCTCTTAATGTTTCAGCCAGGGGGCTGTGCACATGTGACTGCCTATAGCAGGAGTTCCCAGTTTGTGGTACAGTACCACCAATGGTATGCGTTAACAGATTTTTTTATAATGACTTTATATGACAAAAATGTGCTGGTGGTACTTAAAGTTGAACTGAAAAATTTGCTGGTGATACTGAAGGTTGTGTCATTTTAAATTGGTGGTGTGCAATCTGTCAAGAGTTTGAGAACTGCTGGCCTGTAAGTGTTCTGTTTCTTGTAGCGCTACAAACTGTTTCATGTTACGCAAGTAACATCTGACTGAGCCCTGTAAGCTGTAAAATGAATACAATAAACAACAGCTCAAATCTGGTACTTCCAAGAGTTACTTAGAAAAATATTTTTCTCTTATAGTTGCAATTTTAAACTCTTTAACCATTCTATCTGAGTACGTTAGTAATGGAGTACTGTAATACAATGACATGATGTTAATGGGGCAATACCCTCGTTTGCCACTGAGAGGACTTTTTCTTTGAAAAATGTCAGTTCCAGCAAAGGCAATAGGTTTATAGGTCTGTGTGTTTCCCCACTTTATTCCTGTGAATCATGCAATGCTAAAGATTTTCCCTATTCATCTTTGTCAAGCACCAGTGTAATCTTGTCTGACATAAAAATTCAGTTTCTTTGTATGTAGTCTTTCTCTGTACAACACTTAACTTGCTAGAGGTTAAGTTAGGCGATCTCTTAATCAGCAGGGATTTTGTGCAACTGAAGTCTGCATAACTTGGATCCTAGTTAAGTATTTATCTTGATGGCATAACCATAGTAAATAATGTGGTTCTTTTAGTTTACCCTTTTAATGTGTACAATGACCAGTTTAACAGATAATGACTTACATTTGTATCCTCTAATTTTAGACATGGATGGCAGTAATAGTCGGCATGGAGAACACCTTTCTAATGGAAATTCCCACTGAATGGCTTCATTGAAGACATTTTTAAATTAGACTGTGAAAGAACTACTTTATTTTTTATTTAATTAGTATGAACTTTTGTCTAGTTGGAAAAATAACAATGTAAATTGTTTTACCTTTCAAACTTTTCTAGTTTGTGTTCCAAAAGGGCTAACAAGACAATTTTGTATGAAGAGGATTTTTTTTTTAATTTCCTCTGTCTGTTGATCCTATGAAAGATGCAATAACCCTGTTGCTGTAACAATTACTACAGAATTGTACTCCAGGGGACTCAGAAACTAGGAAGAGAGAACAGACTGTAAAAAGTCTAATATATTGGGTACATTGTTTACACTTGGCATGTAGATACAATTGAGCACTTACAGCACTACATTTGATTAAATCATACTTTAAAAATTCAGATTAAAATTTGCTGCAACTAGAGGTGGATGGCTTTCTTTAAATAATCTCTCACTATAGATTAGACAGGAATCAAGTTTTGGGGTATTACATTTGATGAAAAAAATCTATTTCAATTTTACTTATAAATAAAGACTGATAGCTCTTACAGTGTATTCCACCTCAGAGCAGAATACATGCATTTTCCATCTCATTGACTTTTATACTGAACTGGTCAGTAACATGTTGGTTTTTAGTACCTGCTGGACAGTCTTGACATGCTGAGCATATAGACTTACTCAGCATGTGCATCAGTTACCTCTTTTAATCTTTAACTCAGTTAAATAAATAGAAAAGGGCTAACTATGGCTAGGAAATGTATTTATTAATCTATTTATAAGATTTCATGGATTTCCCTTTTAAGCCCCCCTTATTCCTTATGCACACATTGGAAACAAGATCGATATAACATTAGAGGGTTTTGCTCTTTGTCCAAGAAGCTAAACATTTTTCTTGTGGGCATTTCCCATTTAATAGTTTAAATGGATTTGTCACTAGTTTTTATTCCTTTGCTAGAGTAGCAGTATTGTGCCTTATTGGAAAGGGCAGGGGGCACTAAATCTGAAGCACCAGACTAAATAAAAACCTCTACATCTTCATTTTATTCTCCTATTCAGATACTTGCATGCTGTAGATGGTATAAGGCAATGCTAAATTCATTTTGTAAAGAATTATGTACATTTACAACACTATCTTTATAGTGTTAAATGACTTCTTAGGATTTTAGTATTGTCATGTTATAAATGACGTGGTACATTCCTCAAACTTTTTTGTAAGTAGCTACTGCAGGTTGCTTAAAATGGTGTCTCCTGCTAGACATGTGTTTTAAAGTGCATTTTGTTTCTAAGATAACATGTATTTGGAATGTTTTTAAGAAAATATGCACTTTTAAAATTTCTGTTGTGGTTCAGTTGCAGCAGTAAGTTGTTTGACGTGGTGTGTGCATGTTGTGTTTTATGTTTTGTTTTTAATTTTAGAATGAATGTTCCAGAAATAAAGAAAAAAATTGAGCATTTAGTTAGTAGAGTGAATGGTTGAACCTCAAAGAGAAATATTTTTTCAAAATATTCCTGATTCGCCTCTCTTCATGGTAGGAACATCATTAATTTAAGATCTAATGGAACAACTGCCAGGGTTTACCTTCCTTATGTCAACACAAATATTGCACCTTCTGGTGTCTTTATTTTATAAGAATCAAATGGAGTGGAATATTTACTGACTGGCAATACCATTTGCACACACCTCCCCTTGATTCATAGGAACCACTATGCCTCCAAACAAGGTCATCAGTATATCCAGAACTGTCTCATCTGAGGCTTCTCCATCCTTATCAACACAAAGTTGAACATTGATTAATCAGGACTGTGAGGATCATCAATCAGAAGCCTGAAGGAGTTATCAGCTGAAGTCTTGTGAGTCTCCATTTCATGTCTTGGGGATACTTATAACACAGCATTCATGCTGAAGCAAATATAGTGGTGAGTAGTGTAACTTCGCATGCTATTTTTAAAAGTAAAAGGTATGAACATATTAAATATGTTAATTTTCTTAGAAGGTGAGATTTGAGGAAAATCTGGAGAGAGAACTAGGAACTTGCAAAATGAAAACAGGCCTGTTACTTTCTCAGGGAGGAAAAAAGTATATAGTTGTTTCTGCTGGAATTAAAGAAAATAGTTTACTAGGGAATGAATCTGATGGCCAGGATTTGAGACACGTGCACACACATTAATTAGTGTGTTTCTTTATAATAAGAGAGAGAAATACCTTACAAAAATTATTGCTGACATAATGATCAGATGTCCTTCAAAAGAGGGGGAGGGTTCCAATAAATATTTCCTAACTTGATACCTTGTATCTAACTTTTGAAGCACTGAGAAACCCATAGCTTCCAGATGAATACTTCCAGTGTCTCATGCAGCTGCCTAAATGTGTGAAGTGATGTAGGATTTGTAGTAATTTTGATTGTCTGTGTTAGTCAGTTTAAAGCATCATGCTGTGTATTATCTTAGAGGAGCCAAGTGTCAAAAGGACTTTTACAGTACTGAGGAATGATGACAATAAAAGGCCGAATTGCAGTGTCTCCACAAGCAGTTTGCTCTCTTTGGAAGCACAATGACAAAGTCACCTGAAGCGAATTATTAGTCTGACCTCAGTAATATCTTTTTGCATTTAGCAAAAAAAATTACGTAAATAAACAGGGTAAAAATTATCTGAACACCAAGCAGTAATAAAAGACAGAAACCTGAAATGTTTCTTCCTACTTTCCAACTCATCTGGCCTGTGGCTTAAAATAATAAGAAATGGAAAATAAGTCTGGGCAAATTTTGTTTCAGATATGGTAAGTTTGCTTGATAAAGGTAACTATTATTCATTATCTAACAGGTATATGAATTGGTTAACCTCTTGACCTAAGACTGTATGGCAGCGAGTCCCACATGCTACTTGTGCCCTGTGCAAGTTTCCTTTTGTCTGATCTGCTACAGATTTGTTGAAAACTTAACAAATACTCCAGCTGCTTCACAACTACTACTATTTCCCTGCCCCCCCCATCTATAAAATAGAATACCCTACAATCTAGCCTTATCACCCCCCTGAGGAGGGAAGATAGATTTTATTTAGTTGCATGCCATGCTTAGGATGGTTATAAGCTAAAAGTAAAGCTTTTTTTCCTAGATGTGACCCTTGACATGTCTTGCAAGCAATAGTAAAAAAGTGTTTGAAGTTGCACATACAATTGGGGAAAGCTACTGTATTAAGTTCTCAAACTGTATCACAAATATGGCTTAGCCTGCAGAGTGCAATAAAGGAAGTTCAGCTTTGTCCCAGTGAGTGTCAGCATTTTAAAACCACTCTGCAGCTTTCAGAAGTGCTCAAGAGAGCTCTAGATAATAGTGCCCTATTGACCTGCAATATCTTTATGTAATCAAAGAAAATCAAGCTTACAGAACTTGAGGGCTAGGTGTGTGCATTCAGCTAGTTTTAAATCTTTAATATTTATGTATTATCTAATGCAGTACTTGTATTGTAGTGTGTTTGGCTTAGAATATCTAAATCAACCACTCTGACCTTTAGGAAACAGTAACTAGAGATAAATTGGGTTAAAAAAACTATGAAGTTTTTATCAGTTTATCTGACAAAATGGAGTTTTTTGCAGTTGCAGTGCTGAGGATTAGAAAGGTGGTGACTAACAGCTTAGTTACTCTATTCCATTATACTTTTACTTCAACCACAAATAACTGTCTTGATTCAATCTGATAACTGTCTTGATATCAGTATGGCATCTTCAAAATAAAATTCTGCACCTTTCTTAGTGGATCTTTGCTGAATATTGTCTTTTCTCATATAGGTGATACATGGTATGAAGATCCAGAAGCTGGAATTCTAGATTAAGAGATGCACAAATCCAACTTTTACTCCATCTGGGTAGTGATATCAATTCTTGGATTTTTATTTATTTATAGCATTCTTTATTTGGAACTGTTTGATCAGTAGGAAATCTTTATGAATGCATGTCCCTGCCTATGTAAGGGATAGACGCATCATCTGGAAACTTCAAACCTATTCATACTTGAATTGGACTTAAATATAGTTTACTATGTAGCTATATTGCCCATGCTGTGTCTATCAAACAATGAATATCGTTTTCTCTCCCTACAAAAAAAGGATAAATTGGCATTTCCACTGAATTACTTTTGTTTCTTAAAACCCTAAGTATACAAGAGCTATAAGAGTATGGAAGTCAGTCAAACTGACTTCACCAAAAGCATTAGTCTGTAAGTAACTGCTAGGGAAATGCACTGAATTATCATTAACACACAGGCTTTTTTACTCTGCTAGTCACCAACAATATGGTCCTCTTTCATGTTAGAATTAATATATTCACCTGTAACATAGAAGCACAATTGCTTTGCTAAGACTCTGTCCTTGTTTGGAAACTACTGAAAAGCATTTGGTGTATGGTTTTGGCCTACCTAATCACTTGCTGAAGTCCTTTAATTATACAAATAACTTGTGGATCAGATTTTTGACTTTGAGCAAAACTAGAATGAGAACATTTCATTTCCCCCTAAACAAATTTGGCAGTAGTACAAACTTAAGCCTTTCAGGGTGTCTTTACACATGCTCTGGGGTGGGGAGGAAGAGGGAAGGTGTTTTAATTGGAGTGGTTCTCAGGAGCTGTTCTAATAAAAACACCCACAGCATTTCATGTATCCAGCACCACATGCTTCAAAATGGCAGCGGGGGAACTTTAACTAAAGCTCGATGTTCAGAATTTTTCTCCCAGAGCAAAAATGGCTGCTCCAGGAAAAAATAATCCAGAAGAAAGAAAATCTAAAAGGGTCAAATCATTGCGATTTTCTCTTGGGATAGCAAGTGTCTGGATATATTCAGTCTTCCAGTGTCTGAGACTGCTTTATTCCCCCCACCCTGTGTCCTGGCAGTTTTGCTTGCTGGATTCTTTTGCTCCAATTGAGCAGAACAGACCCCCTTCACAATCAACATTGTGCCTTAGGGAGAGAGAGGCTGATTGAGCACTGCTGCCACTCTGTCTGAGGGAACCTGCAGAGCATGAGAGGTATGCTTGGGGTTCTCCTGGCTGCACAGTATCAGCAAAATCTCTGCTCTTCAAAGGCTTAGTATTAGAAAGTCTATTTAGGTGGGATCAAGCTTTTCTACCAGGAAAACAAACCTGGAAGAATTATCCCAAATGAGTTGAATGTGTGTACATCACCTTCATGTCAGTGCCAGTCAAAATGACCAATTATTTTCATTCAATACTTAACCTGTGTCCAAATTATGCATGGTTTCTAAGTGTATTTAAAGAGATATTGTCAGCAAACTCAATATATCTACATAATTATATGACTTATTAAATGCAATGTTCCCAGAAAACTTTAATAGATTACTTGGAGTTATTATATAAACTAATCTTTTATTTGCTTTACAGGGAGCTGATATGTCCTCATTTTGTTTACCTTAAATTGCTAATGTAAATTAAAGAATATAATACTGACCCATGGCTTGCATGCTGATAGGTAAGTGTACCTAGTGTGTTACTACTAGGTTGTCATCCTTAGATCTGGGTATAGAACCCAGCTGTGAGAAGAAGGTTTCATGAAAAACTAAAGTACAAGTTGTAAAGTGCTACAGCTATATTTTTCTTCTCCTCCTCATTTTTCTGTTGCCTTGGGCAGAAACTCTTCCTGAGTACACAAGAGATCAGATTCTTCACAGTAAATTGTTCTGGGTGGATTTAAGTCGGATGCATTGGCAATGTAGTGAGGAAGCTTTCAGTTGCTTTCTATTCTGCACTAGGAAAGACCCTTTTCAAAAGAAAATACATGCCTTGCCTCTGAATTTTGTTAAAAATTATATAGCATTTTCTGTCCACAGAAAATATAAGTCTTCTCTTAGTTACAGCCACAGAAGAACATACTGCTAGCATGTAAGCAAGCCACCATGTACCAAATAGTACAAATAGGGGGTTTTGAAACCATCCCCTGAAACGGGTTCCCAACCACTGGGTTGCAAAGGGTTGGCTGCTGGGTCGTGGCTTGAGCCCCCCTGCTCAGTCCCCCTCATCTGTCTGGCCAGCTAGTGGCTTCCACCACCGGTGATCACATGCAGGTTTAAAGCTGGGGGCTAGGTTAGCCCTGGGAGGGGAGGCACCCGATCCTGCTCCTGTGCCCGTCCGCAGGATAAAAAAAAAAAAAAAAGTTGGGAACCACTGCCCTAAGCCCACAGCAGTGTTTATTTTCAGTAGGAAATCCCTTTGTCTTCATCTATTGTGTCCCAGCTACAAAACAAAGTGCTTCAAGGGCTGAGCCAAACAGACCTATACATCTTAAGAAGCAATCCAAAAGGAACCCTAAACAGAACAAGTACTGTTGCTGACACAGAACATTCTCCAGACAAGGCTGCAGCTCTGGTGAAGCTGAAGCAGTCCATCTGGGTACAAGTGCTGCAAGGATGGTATGTCTGTCCACAGCTGAACTGCTAGGAGTAGGAAAAATTTCCCATGCAAGGAAGACTAACTTGATGCTGCCTAGGTCATTAGAGCTAGGATGGAGAAAAGGGCACACATTCAATTTAGGTCCAGTTACTGTATGATTAAAGCAGATGGCAAAAATCATAGCTTATATATGGACCGTAATCAGGTATCACTTGTTTTAAAGGAACACTGATTTCTTTGCATTGAATACCAGCTAGACTTACAGATTTCCTCTATGTGTAACTAGAGCTTGTAAAGAAAAGCAGAATCATGTAGTGTTAGTGTAGAACTGACCGTTTAAGTCTAGTTAAAATTTTACAATGTTGTTATATTTCAAGTTGGCAGGTCCAATAAAGCTGGAGTTGAGAGAAAGTATAAGTATTAGGGCTGTGAGAAATGGCACCATTCCGTTTTTGGTTTCGACCTCGAAATGAGTCGAAACAGTGTTGAAGCATGCAGCCCTAATAAGTATATTTGAGTACAACAGTATCATCTCTAAACTCTGATCAGATAATTTTGTAGTGCCCTTGAAATACAGACTTGTTTCTTTTTTTTTCTTTTTAAAAAGAGACCTGCAGCATACCTTTATCTTACTGAATGAATGGCATTCACTTGGATGTTACCACTTAAACCTAATGAAAATAGGTTTTGGAGGGGGTTAATTCCTAGCACAGCCTCCATTTGCACTATAAGGCTTTTTATACTGGGCCCTAGGGATGAGGGAGCTATGAATCGCTTTGCTGGCCTTTGGAAAGATAATTGACTTTATCGACTTACAAATGTGTGTGACAGTTAGTTACTTCAAATGATATACTGCTGCTTTGTACACAATATACTATCCTGGCAAATACTTCATAGTTCAAATTCGGTGTTGAATAGTTAATATCAACCAAAATTGTCTGTAAGCAGCTTCTGTTTTATTCCTACCCCAGATGCCAGTTTGTTGCTTGCTGAAGCTGGCTCAAAGCTCTGTCTCTACCTAGAATATTAAAGCCTAATGAATCGTTGTTCTGTCTGGAGAAAAATAACAGCTTTAAAATCAGGAATGTTGTACAAGTTGTAACTTTCTGGATTTGAGGCTTATCTAAATTAAGATCTAGAATTTAAAATGCAGTGAGAGAGGTGAAAAAGCTA